TTGCAGATAGGACAGTGTACCTAAGTCGTCGGGAATGCTTCCAGACAAGGAATTGTAGGATAGATCAAGGTAGATCATGCTGCCATTACTGGTGAATGTGTAAACTGTCAAGCCAGAGTAAATTCTAGTTGATGGGCAAGAGTGCACCATAGGAAACTTTTCTAGTCTCTCTGCTCGGATTCCCTCAAACTCAACTAGTCCTCCTGCACCCCTGCAGGATGTCCCACCCTCATTTCTCACAAATGCAAACTGCTTCCCGGAAACAGTTCCAGGAGAGACTAGACCAGCTTGGTTGGCAAGCTCTGATGGGATAGAACCGCTTAGGTCATTGCTGTTTAAATCAAGCCAAATAAGGCTCTGACACTTGCCAAGCTCAGCTGGAATCTGTCCAGAGAGTGAATTGTTACCCAACTGAAGTATAGCAAGCTTAATGAGATTTCCAATACCAGAAGGGATATCTCCCGTAAGGCGGTTGCTAGCTAGTGACACCCAAATCATATTGGTGCATTTGGCTATGGACCGGGGAATGGTTCCAGTGATGAGATTATTGTTGAGAATCAGAGTTTCCAGGTTTCCTCCATTGATGCAAATACCTTCTGGGATTTCACCAGTGAGGTTGTTTGCCCACATAACCAAGTCAGAGAGATTTGGCAAGCTCCAAATTTCTGAAGGAATTGGACCAATCAGATTGTTGAAACTAAGATCAATAGCCTTCAGGTTCTTGCAGTTTCCAAGTTCCGTGGGCACAGTCCCGGAGAGAAAATTGTTGGCTAGAAGTATCTTTTCCAAAGTTGAGGGAGCATTGGAGGAGCAAAACCCTGAAGGGACGTTCCCCGTGAAGGCATTAGAACTGAGATCGAGCACTTGAAGCCGAGTACCATTGGTAAGAGACAGTGGCACAGGACCAGTTATGTTGTTGAATGGCACATAGAGATATCTCAAACTAGGAAGACTACTTACAATGGAACTAAGGAAATTTCCTGAGAGCTGATTGTGACCAAGGTTGAGACTAACCAAAGAAGAGCAGGATGTAAAACTTGAAGGCAACCCTCCAGAAAGATTGTTAACCGAGATATCAAGCTCCTGAAGAGTCCCACAAGCCTTTCCTAGTTCAGTTGGAATTTCACCAGAAAAATGATTATGACCCAAAAACAGTTGCCTCAATTTCTTGAGATTGCCCAACAAAACACCAGGAATTTTGTTCTCAAGCTTATTATTGGACAGGTCCAGTGTCTCCAGAACCTGACAGTTACCAAGGCTTACAGGAAATTGATCCCCAGAGAGTGCGTTGTGTGCTAGCTTCAGCAAAGTGATGCTTCTGCACTGCCCAAAATCAAGGTTGGAGAATTTTCCAGTGAAATTGTTGCTTGAGAGATCCAAATACTCGAGAGATGCTGAGGCCTTTGCCAGGAAGCTGCTTGGTATTTCCCCAGAAAAAGTATTGTTTGAAAGGTCAAGGGTTGATAGATTCTTGCAAGAAAAAAGAGAATCACTCAGTTTTCCAGTGAGCTTGTTAGTGGAAACATTGAGCAGATTCAGATTTTGACATGTCAACAAGGCTGTATCAGAAATCTGATTGTGAGAGAGGTCAAGCTGCAGCAGAGAAGAACCAAAGCTGAGACTGCCTCCAGGGATTGAATTGTGAGAGAGGTTAACAGAAGCAAGATGATCACAACTCAGAAGAAAAGATCGACTTGGAAAAGGTTCAGAGATGTTGTTGGAGGACAAGTCCACAGTCTCAAGTCTACATGAGGTTATGTTGGA